ACATTTAAATTGATCCTCTATGAGTGAGGGAAGCTGAAACTTTTCACATTTGCGATTTAAAAAACCAGCAATGGTAACGTAGTCGTCAGCATCACTCTTTGTCAGTTCGAGGCAGTTGCAGTGGACATGAAAAAGCAACTGTTGACTGCCGAATATGACCATAAGCTGCTCCACTGTTTCTGTGAAACTTAAATTATTAGTCTGTTTTGGGAGGATAAAATCTATGTATCGCTCGTGCTCCTGAATACCAAGTTTTCTCAGTAAAAGACGTGATTTCCAGGTGTCGCCTTCCTGGGAAAATTTGTATTAGAAAGTGTTTTTCCAACATGTAAACCAAGATGCGAATGTGTATCTATGTGTAGCATCGTAGTTAAACTCTGTTATGTTATTGGACAGAAGATCTGCATAACCATTTGTTTTTGTGCTGTTTCCAGCGTTGTGGGCAGCGAGCTGAAGCTGAAATTGTTGATGTAGTCATCAATTGAAGATGAGACTTCTTGAACTGTTGCTGTTGTTGCTGCATAATTCCCTTTAAAATCTCCACAGGTATTGCCATTTTTTAAAAAAATTTTCCAGTAGTTCTCATCACCAATTTGTTATGATGCCCAGTGGGGATTGTAAGTCATAGGAAATAAAGAAATAAGAAGATGCAAGGATTCCTTGATAAAAACATAATAAAGGTAGTTTATTTCAATACATACAATTTGGTGCTAATCATCAATTGTTGTGGAAAATGTTTATCAATTAGTTATCACTGTGACTATAGGTAGCCATCTTGGAATCTTATACTGCACTCAACTGCACCAAGGGCAATAATCACTTTTGGGGTCATAGCAAGTTATCTTCCTTTTATCTAAGGGAGGTCTCTTTAACAACAACAAAGAATAAGTTCTTAGAATTTCTTACTCTTGAGCATGCAACATACTACTGGTCATGCATATATATTTCTTTCTGGAGCCAAATTCCAACTTTTTGAAGCATTGCATTTGGACATGTGATTAGTTCATAGTTCTCGCAAATGCAGGGCAAACTGAAAACTGCATTCTTGTATTTAAAATGGTGGGAGTATTTTGCGTGTGAAATGATAAAACTTTTAATTTTTCCCCCCCAAAATTTAAGGGAAATTTATTGTTCTAAGCTATTCACCCTAGTAATTTTTATGTAACCTAATCATGTAGAATAATCTATCACCTGCTATATAGGGGAACAATTTAACTAGAAAAATTGAAAATTAATACAAGTTAGAGACATGTCACAATCATTTCATTTCAAATTATTCAACAATGTTTTGTGTCAGTTTTTAACATCAACTAGAGATTTTTCTTGTTAAATAGTTGAATAATTTAATACATTTGCCATTATACATAAAAATAGTGAATTTTATAGGGTTTATCTGAGTCTTAGCCTGACCAAAAGAAATTCCTGGATTTGGACAAAAAAAAATGAAGATGCTGTCAAAATCCACAAAAAATTTTCATCCTTTAATAATAGGCGTGCTTAGCTTAATTTGTAATGTATATAAATGTAGGTAGAAAAAGTAAATGTTGATGAGATAGTGAGGGTCACAAAGCACTTCCCAGGGGCCCCTCTGATGGGAGTGGGGGTTCAGGGGTAGGTACATTCAATAAAAAGTGATATCTAAGAGAGCAAGACTGATACTCTGCTTACATGTAATTTATCATAAAGAAATCAACTTACAAAGATAATAGTGGATTTAGTGACAGTAATTGTGAGTTCATTCCCTGGGTAGGGCAGTGTGTTATTGGACTCAGCGGAAATGGTGAAAACAAATAACTGAGCAATACTAGATTAAAAAAAGAGCTGAACAAGAACAATCTAACCTTGTCGATCAAATAAAAGGCTCTGTTCAAATTTCACAGGAGGCTGCCTGAGTTGACAGAAACCTGAAGAAGATCAGAAAGCGCAATGGCTGAAACCTTATGATAATGAAAGATGTGGACATTAGGTCAAATGTAAATAGTGCAAGTTAGAATAGATTTTTTATTTTCAATAAAATTTACAGTTCACTTAAAATTAAGATTTTTAAACTGAGATGTGAGAGTTCTAAAGCAACCATCTGCTGTTCAGAACTAGCAAAAAGGAATTATTCAAATAAATGAATAAATAAAAAAAAAAAAAAAATTCAGTATCCAGTGACAGTCAGTCAGGGGCTAACATAATTCTGGTCATGGGCTGTAGATTAAAAGTCAGCAAAATATTTCTACACACCGTTGCAAGTTTGGGTCATACTGGTTGCCACATTAAGAGATAAATATAAAAGAAAAAAGAAAAAATAATGAATAATAAAAAATATAAAAAATAAAAATAATGAATAATATAAATAATAATGAATAATAAAAATATATAAAAATGAAAATAATGAATAAAAAATAAAATAATGAATAACATGAATAATAATAAATAATAAAAAAATTAAAAATGAAAAACATGAATAATAATGAATAATAAAAAATATATAAAAATGAAAATAATGAATAAAATAAATAATAAAAAATAAAAAAATGAATAACATGAATAATAAGAATAATAAAAAATATAAAATGAAAATAATGAATAAAATAAATAATAAAAAAATAAAATAATGAATAACATGAATAATAATAAATAATAAAAAATATAAAAAATGAAAATAATGAATAAAATAAATAATAAAAAAATAAAAAATGAATAACATGAATAATAATGAATAATAGAAAATATAAAAATGAAAATAATGAATAAAATAAATAATAAAAAATAAAAAATGAATAACATGAATAATAATGAATAATAAAAAATATAAAATGAAAATAATGAATAAAATAAATAATAAAAAAATAAAATAATGAATAACATTAATAATAAATAATAAAAAATATAAAATGAAAATAATGAATAAAATAAATAATAAAAAAAAAATAAAAATGAATAACATGAATAATAATAAATAATAAAAAAATATAAAAATGAAAATAATGAATAAAATAAATAATAAAAAAATAAAAATAATGTATAACATGAATAATAATAAATAATAAAAAAAATAAAAATTAAAAAATATCCAGTATCCAGTGACAGTCAGCCAGGGGCTAACATAATTCTGGTCATGGGCTGTTGATTAAAAGTCAGCAAAATACTTCTACACACCATTACAAGTTTGGGTCATACTGGTTGCCACATTAATAGATATCGACTGGATTTAATCTCACTGTGAATATTTACCAGGCTTAACTTAATCTGTAGGATTTAGTAGGATTAATTTAATCTATTGATATTCGTTAAGGTTTGTTTATTCTTGTATTGTGTCAGATTCAGTTAAGTTTATTAGATGTTTCTAGTTATTTCCTGTGATGAATATTTTTTTCTTTTTATGCTGATGGTACACGAGAAACAATCACTGAAATATGAGAGTGGATAAAAGGAAGGGTAAAAGTGATTCTGAAAAACATGCTCAAGGAACATCTGGGATCTACGAAACAAAAACAAATTATGCAAAATGACTGATTATTTTTATATTGTATGACTGAATACAAAATCCATAGATAAAAATAAAATTTCTTATCTATCATTTAATAATGAAATGCAATGAAAGCAAATTTATAATGAAACGTCTGGAAAGTGACATTTTAATAGAAATCTATTGAAAATGATTTTTAGTAAGAGATTTTGTTATTGCAGGGAATTTAAAATGATATTACAACAGAAATCTATTGAAAATGGTTTCCCTAAAAATATTTTATAAATAGTTTTATGATAAATTTTTATTGAAAATACTTTTTAATGAAGATGCATTGTAAATGATTTCTGATAAAACAGGATCTTGATCAGTAAAATGAGTGGCAGCACTTCACCAGAAAAATTCATCCTGAGGAGAAATTTCAGTAAACTTACTTAATACCTAATGGTTAAATCCTCTTTGGCAGGAAGGGAGACAACCCTGCTACTGTCACTGCTTAGAACACATCCATTAAGCTGAGGAACATGTCTAATATGGTTAGAAATTTGCTAGCCAAGGATGGCGAGTTCAGTCCTTGATATGACCACGTGCTAGCATAGTTCATTGAAAATTATTTATAACAAAAATCTATTGAGAAATAAAAAAAATACATTTTAAATGAGTTTGTTATTGTAAGGTATTGAAAGCGATTTTATAAGGGTGCTTCTACTATGTATTTAGAGATTCTTGATAAAATCCAAAGAAGAATCTGCAATGTTATTGGTCCTCACCTAGCATCTCAGCTTCAGTCACTTTTCTACTGCCATAATGTAGCTTCCCTGTGCCTATAAATATTTTCAGGGTAATTGTTCTGATGAGTTTTCCTCTTTGGTCATTCAACTTTATGAATTTAAGTCTAGTACTAGACTGGCAGCAAGGTCTCATCCTTTTACACATGAAATTGCTAAATGAAACTGTAAGTTCTATGCTAACAGTTTCTTCTCTTGCACTTCTCACTTGTGGAACTCTCTTGCAGCCTCTTACTTTGCAGTTAGCTTTGATTTTAAAAAATTTAAATGCAATGTCAGTCGTTATTTTTTGTCAGGTTAATTCCTGTTCTTTTAATGTTCTCTTCCCTTAGTTTTTTCCTTTTTCTCATATTCTTTCAGACTTAGTAACCCCTTCCCTCTTAGTAGCTTTACTGTCTTACTTAAGATGAAATGATTAAAAAAAAAAAACAGAAAATTGAATAAAAATGTACTGTAAAGTGTTCCATTAGTGCAATTCACTGGACAAAATTTTATTGACTGATTCATTTTTTACAGCACATCAACCCATTGCAGGTTATTTAAAGCCAGAAAATATTTTTAGATTATAAGGATTTTTTTAAAGATAATAATGATTTAGTGATACAAGTCTTACTAATCAATCCATAGCTGTGTGGGGAGAAGGGGTGGATTTATATCTTTCCCCAGGGTACATAATTAACCTAACTGAAATTGGAACTCAGCTTTCCAATTAACAATTCAGAGCTGTTATTTATTGCATTACTCTCATATCCAAGATTACAGCACCTTGTTTTCCCAAGCAGTCACCTATCTTGGTACTGACAAGGCTCGATATTGCTTAACTTCAGTGATCGTATGGGAACTGATGTCTCAACATGATATGGCTGTAAACTGAAAAAAGATTTTATAACAAGGATTTCAATAAAAATGCTTTAGATATGGTTTTATGTTGAATTTCTGTTGAAAATACTATTCATTAAAAATCATTTACAATGATTTTAAAACAAAAATCTGTTGAAATTGTTTTCTAAACCAATGCTATATTGTAAGCATAATAAAAATCTATTGAAAATGTTTTCTAAACTGATGTAATGAATATGCATATACCTGGGTTCCTCTCACAGTAATATGATTGGCTGGTGTCAGCCATAAATACAGACTGATGTGGAGGTACATCGAGGATGCCTATTGGCTACACCTATAGTCTTCGCCTATTGCCTACCACTACGACGACCAGTCCATTACGGTTACCTGCTAAATTGTCCTACTTGGTTACAGTAGTTCAAAACCACTTTGCTACCTTGAACTAATATATCGCTTTTTGGGACATATGCTGTAGTGTAAGCATAATAAAAATCTGTTGAAAATGTTTTCTAAACCAATGCTGTAGTGTAAGCATAATAAAAATCTGTTGAAAATGTTTTCTAAACCAATGCTATAGCATAAACATAATAAAAATCTGTTAAATGTTTTGTAAACTAATGCTATATTGTAAGCATAATAAAAATCTGTTGAAAATGTTTTCTAAACCAATGCTCTAGTGTCAGCATAATAAAAATCTGTTTAAAATGTTTTTTATAAGAATACATTTTAAATGTATTCAATAAAATATGTGAATATTAATAACAATAAAAATGTATTGAAAATACTTTTCAATAAAGATACATTGTAAATTATTTCATTGTTACAATGCCTTCAATCTGTCCTGTGAGTATTAAGTCTTCTAATTCTTCTTTTCTCATTACGTGCCTTAGAAATTTCAACTCTCTCTATGATTCTAATTGTCCTTTTGTTCCCTATTTTCTCTAAAAACTTGTTATTTCTCAGATGTTCGGTCCATGCTACTCTCAGTATCCTTTTGTAGAACCACATTTCTATTGCTTCAAGCCTCTTCTTCAACTGTGTGGAGATTGTCCAGCATTCACTGCTATATAGGAGGACTGATATTACGTAAATAAGTTTTATCTTTTAGGTACCTCTCATGAACCCTGCCCTGCCATTCATTTTCTCAAGCTTGCTAGGTAGTTTATACATTGTTTTCCTCTGTCTTACATGCCTTCAGTCTATACTGTGAGTATTAAAATTTCCAAGCCCTCATCCTTCACTATGTACTCTAGAAATTCTGTCTCTCCATGTTGTTATGTATAAGTGTCCTTTTTCTTTCCATTTTTTTCTTGAACTTTGTTGCTCATATTTTCGGTCACTGGTATCCTCATCATCCTTCTGTAGAACCACATTTCTGTTGTTTTCAGTCTATTCACCATCTGTGAGGTAATTATCCCGCGTTCACTGCCATATAGGACAGGGGTGGCCAAACTGCAGCTCTTTGACCTTTAATAAGTGGCTCATGGAAATATGTAGACTGTGCTCCTTTTTAAATCACAGTTAATATAAAAGGTAAATTACTGTAGTTCATTACTGTAGAAGTCAAGTGACTTACCTGCCAACATGGCTGCCTTCTTCTGTTTCCTTGTACAGCAAGCCAGCTGACTTTACCTCATTTTTTAGGAGAGTGCCTAATACACCAGTTAGGTTGGTCCATTTTGCTAGAATGGACCTGCCCAATACATGAGTGGTCTTTATTCACCCATATATTTCTCCATAGAATGACTCAAGTCAGTTTAGCTTTGGCTACACTTGCCTACTTGTGTGTCAGACCACTGGCAAGCTAACCAATATTCTACAATTACCATATTAAATATGCTCAATATAGTTGAAAAATACATTTGGTGTGTATATATATATATATATATATATATATATATATATATGTGTGTGTGTGTGTACTCTGTGATTCTTTCTTTTTATGTGCCATGTCCTTTCAGGATGTAGGCGATCATGGCTCTCCACCTCCCTCTATCCCTTGCAGCTCTCAACAAGTTCCTTCCCTCTGCTATCTTCCCCAGACCACGTTCTGTCATCCACCTGCTCAAACCCATCCGGAATGTCGTGCGCTTCTTTCCCTTGTCTCTCTTTCCATCTATTCGACCCGTGACTATCAGATTCTCCAGTCCCTCCTTCCTCATTATGTGTCCCAGAAAATTCAGCTGCCTCTTCCTGGTGTTGAGTATAAACCTTCTCCCTGTTTGCATCCTCTCTAAGACCTCCTTGTTGCTAACATGCTCGGTTAACAGTTTAAAAAACTGCATATGTGAATAAATACCATTGCATATATGCATTTCTTAATATTTGTAAAAAAATGTGTATGTAACAAAAATGTATGTGTAAATTTTGTTCATGTCTTGTGGCTCTGAAACATCTGAACTTTATCATATATGGCTCAGTATTTACCTGAGACCTCCCCACAAGGCAGTATGTGGCACAGGGCTGTTTTTTTACATGGGGCATTCTGAGGCTGTAGGCTCAGGCAAAAATAGCCCATAGACCCTGCATACACAGGGTTGGGTAGCTGTCTACCTCCCAAGACAAGACTCTGTCCTTCAGCATAGCCCCATCTGGGTTCCTCTCTGCCTTTGGGCAGAGTGTCTGACAAGCTGTAAAATCTTAGCACGCAGCCAGCTCTCAATCATATTGAGCACTGGCCACGCGCTTATATATGGCTCTACATTAAGCAAGTTTTGCCACACCTTATATAGAGGACAGATATTATATAACAGCTCAGTACTCTTTTCTTTGTTTATGATAATTATTATTTTTAAAAGGTAATTTTAGTATTTTAATAAACTGTAACATGAAACTTGAATTTATACATTTTTTTTTTCTCACTATAATTAACCATAATTATCTCCTGTTTTAATTTTCCAAGAGTAGGGGTTTAGTTTGCAATTCATTTTCATATCTTATAGTTTTATTAAAACTCTAAAATAATACAAATCAATAAAAATGTATACAGTAGTATCAGTATTCTGGTATCACAGTACAGCTTTATTTTCCCCTGGTTTGCCTCCTTTTTAATTTAGTTATATTCTAGATTAGTTACCGTTTTGATCACTTCCTGTTTTGCCTATAGTAATCACTGGAACATGTACAATAAACACACAGTTTGTATTTTAGTATCCTAATTTCCACCCTCAGACAATAGCACCGATATATAACTTCTTAATCTTTTTCTCAAAGTATTGGTCTTTCCTAATGTATTATTTGAACATTTGTTTAAAGTAGCCGCCTTGTATACATTTATTTCTAATGCTGTACATTGTATCTTATCCTAAATGTTGTTATTTAACACTACTACAAGAAATAATGGTGTGAACGCACCCATAGGTCAACAAATCAAGATTTGTTTACATTACTTGTGCATGTTGCTCAGTGGAACTTTTGTGAGTTGTTATGTAATTGTTTCCTGAATATTTCATTTTAATGTGAAATCAAGGAGTAGTTATGTTACATTTATAAATGTAGTACAGCATTATAATGTGAACTGCTTCAAATAGAAATATTTGCATCTGAGGCAGTTGTGAGCCTACTGCGATCCATAGTGCAAGCATACTAGCTGACTTACTAGTGCTGATACACCTCAGAATTTAAAATTACCTCTTTGTAACTGTTGTCTTAGATGCCCTCCACTATTTTGAGGGGGTAAATTTTATGATTTAACGGTTGCCTTATAGACAGAAGTATACAGTATTTCTTTTTTGTAGTTTTATCATTTTGCCTTTCAGTGAACCTGCTGATGAGCAAGACTTTCTCTTTAGAGTTTTGATTGTTGAAAAGTCATTTATCTAGCTGTCCGAGCTAAGCATGCATGCAAGACAGGTGCATATTGGGAAGCAGTACCAGCAGTGTCAAGAGAAAATTGTCCTTTTGTCACATCTTTTTTTTTCTTCTTGCCTCACCCTAAGTTCAAATTTGCTAAATAATGTCTATAGGGGTTTCAGAGACGAGAATTTATTAAAACTGTTTTACTTATCTTGCTCGTTATAGTCGTGGTGTTTCGGCTATTGTACTCTCCCAGCCTTCTTCAGGTACCTTTTGTCTTTGTTAGTGCTCTCAGACATTCAAACTAAAATCAATATGCAATCCACAGGAAGTAAACTTTCCCATTTCACTGTCCTTGTGGAATGATGGGAGAATAATAAACAGTAACACGTAGGGGGTGGATGGTCAAGTTTTATATCAGTAAGTTAGTAAATGGTACAGCCACGTGAATCCTAGGATGCCAGTCTACTAGTGCGGCTAGATAATCCTCATTGCAGATGACCACAGAGCCCACCTGTGGTTTATACTGCAACTAAGCTGAGCCAACCTTAGTTACAGGAGAAACATGATCAACAATCTGAACGAGGCCAGCACGCTCAAACCCTCAGTCATGAAGACTTGGGATTTTTGCTAGCACAGACATCGGTAACCCCTCCCCAATGGTTTTGTCTACCCAATTTCACTCCCAAGGCTTGGGTCAATCCCCAGTGTGGTTTTCAGGCACTTTCAAAGACGCCACATGCTGGGATCACCTCTTCCAGACTGATAACATCAAGAAGTCATCTTCCTGACAAATCGACTATGGCGTTATTCGAATCTAGGTCTCATGGTCAGAAAGCGAACATTCTAACCCCTCAACCACACACCCATATCAGCACGACAAGTTCAAATTCCAGTTGAGTCTGTTGCATTCCTGTCATATTAATATCTTTGGGGAAGGAATGAATTTATCTCCCCTATGCTAATAAAATATTAAGGCAGACTGGGCTCTCTAGCCTTGGGTGACAACCAATTTAGAAGAAACTAGTTGGGTATGGCTTTTTATTGATTGATTGTTTTTTACGGTTCATCAACCTCTTGCGAGTTGTTTGAAACCATAAAATATTTGTAAAAGGTAAGAATTGTTTTTAGAGATAATAATGATATAACGATACAAGTCCTACTGTTTAACCCATAGCTTGGAGGAGAAGTGCTGGATTCATACCTTTCCCAAGGGTATTGGAGCATAAG